CCGCCCGCGGCCCCCGCCCCTTCCCGGGCGGTCGTCCCCCCTCGCCCCCTCCTAGCCCTCTTGGAGGCCAGCGGTTCCCCCCTAAATGGGTCCCGGCCCGAGGCCCCGGCCCGACGCCGGGCTGCGGGCGGGCTGGGCGGCGCGTCCGGCGACTCGCACAGGAAAGCGGACGGCGAAGGGAGGGAGCTTGGGAGAGGGGGATGGGAGAAGGGAGGAAGAGGGAGAAGGAGGGAGCGCGGAGGAACGGAGGAGAGAGGGGCCAGGAGGGAGACGCGAGGGAGGGAGCGCGAGGCAAGCTGCGAGGGGGGAGGGAGGGGGATCCGGAGAGGGGGAGGCGCTGTGCGAGTTGGCCGAGGCCGGCCGAGGGGGCTGGGGCGCGGGGAGGGGTTCGCCGAGGCGGAATGTGGGGAACCGGAGAGGGCTAGGTAGGAGGGGCTGCCGGTTGTAAGGGCAGAGAAGGGGGAGACTGGAGAAGTTTGGGGGCAGGGGGATCTGAGGCAGAGAGGAAGTGGGAGGTTGTGAGTGTGTGGCAGAGACTGGTCTAATGGGGGTACATTGCGAAAATGGAGCTACGTGGGGGCTTTGGGGGCAGTGAGGTATGTGACAGGGAGGGGTGACTAAAGCTTAGGGTGACAGCGTCTGTGGCAGACACGTAGCGGGAGAGGTGGGGGCGATGATGAGGGAGAATGGGATGGAAGCGTGGGGTCATGGGGAGGGGAAGAAACTGAAAAGATGTAGACATATATATGTGGATGGGGTTTCTGGATGAGAGTAGTTTGGAGGTGATTGGTGTTGGGAAAAGAATAGGGAACATAAGAATTGGGGGGGGGGGTGATGATGGAAACCTGGAGAGAGTCCAGAGATGTCAGCATGGAGAAAAGGGGAAAGGTGAGGAACCTTAAGAAGGGATTAAGGAGGTGGGGCCAGAGGCATATTCTAGGAGACCTGGGGTGCTGGGTGGGAAAGGAGTGAGGAGACACGGGATGGCTGGATTCTGGAGGTGGGGGGCTTCCAAGAGAACTGAGGAGGGTTTAGACAAAGGTGGATAGAATGGGGTGGGGGCGGCGGGGGAAGTGGGTAAATAAGATTGGAAGGAAATGTAAGATAAACAAGGCCTTTGGTGGCAGTATGGAGGAGGGACGTCAGAGATGGGAAAGACAAGAGTGGAGATGGGAAGGGAAAGCAGTAGAAGGAAATGATGTAAGTGGGAGAGGGCAAGCCCCCGTGTAGGGAAGGGATTAATTTATAGGAGTGGGACACCATCTTCAGGCCCTTCTGTCTGGTGGTGTCTCCATTTTCCTTCTCAAACCTGTTTGAAGTCATCACAGACAGTACTCTGGGCCACAGGGAAGGGGTCCGGTGGGGATTAGGCTCAAGGTAGAGCCAAATCCCTAGGTGCCCTAGTTCCCCAATCCCAATCCTTCTACTATGGAGTCGATCCCCACCCTACCCCCAGACCACAGGTTCTTCCTTCAACCCTCCCCACTCTCCAGGAAGCCAGATTGTCAGCCAGCCAGCCATTTCCAGTCTTCAGCCTGAAGCCAGCACCCCCACCAGTCCACCACCATTGTCTTCTTCTGGGCTGTCTCCCTGGCCCCACACCAAGCAGCAACATCTCCCAGGACAAAGGACACCAAGACACTGGGTGATTTTTGGCAGCTGAGATTGGGAAGGCCAGAGAATGGGAGGGAGGCAGGCTGGGAAACTGGAAGAGCTGGAGCTGGAGCCTGGATTGGGAGCCCTTACTTAGCTCTCCAGATTGAGGGTGGGAGTAGGGCATGTTGGGGCCAAGCCAGCTAGAGGCCAAGGATGGTCCCTGAATGGCAGGATCCCACCCAGGCTTCTGGGAAAGAAGGAGGTTGGATTTGTGGCAACTAAGTGGGTTTTGCTTCATTATTTTCTTGGGCCAGGCTCAACCAAGTTCTGGGACTACCCAAAAGCTCTAACAGATTCTAAAGCACTGGAGAACCTGAGCAAGAAGGCTTCCTTGGCCTAGCAATGAATCACCACTCTTTGTAGCCTCTGAATTGGTTGGCCACACACTTTTCTACCCCATGCCCACCTTTTTTATCCCTAGGGGCCCTCCAGAGACCTGGTCAGCTCCCTGTCCCCCTCTCCCTGGTGATCCCTGCCCTCCCTTCCTCAGTGCCCTAGAATGGCCCCTGCTCCTCCTCCCCACCCCCCCACTCCCCCACCCCTGCAACTTTGTTCCAAGACTCCTCCTCCTCACTCCCCATTGCATTTCCTCTCCTTCTGCACTTCTCAGTTCAGTCTCCCACTGGGGCCCCGGGCCCAGGCCCTTCCCAGCTCCCTTCTAGGCTGAGCTGCTCTCTTTGTTTTTTAACCACTGAGGGATGGGCTAGGATGGTGACATCCCTGAACCTAAAAGAAAAATTTAACCATAGGTAGGAACAGAAGATAAGGAGAGTCAGAGAAGCCAGGGCCTACCCCCTCCAGTTCCTCCCCGACCTGAGGACCAGGCTCACCATTCGGCTTTGGGGTGCATCACACACACACACCCCACCATCCCACACCCCAGCTCCCTTTATGGCCCAGCCCCCCACAACCCACTGGTCTCCAGGCAACGGCACAAAGAGAAAGTGGAGAGAGGGGCCTGGGAGGCCCAGAGAGAGCTAGCTGTAACCCAATCCAACCCAGTACCTGGGGGGCAGGGGGGTGGGGGTGGGCATGGCTGCCAGAGAAGGCCACCCAGCAAGGAGGGAGGAAAGGGCAGAGGTTAGGAAATGTGGCTCCAACCAAAACAGTCTTGGTCAGTCCAGGAGTTGGGAGAAGAAAGATGGCTATCGTGGACCCCAGAGAAAACTGAGAGGCCCAGAGAAAAGCACAGTGTGCCCCAAGGGGAATGGAAAGGGGTGCCAGGAGACAGGAGAGAAGGGAAAGATGAGATGCCCACACTGAAATTAAGAGGCATAGAGGAGCGGGGGCAAGAAGCTCTTTGAACTGAAAATGGCTGAAGTGTCAGTGACACAGGAAGAGCAGAGAAATGAGTCCTGCCCATACAGGATGCAAATCCTCTTCTAGTCCTGGAGCTGGGCAGGGTGGCAGAGAGCCCAGGACCAGAACTCAGAGTAGAAACGGTTGAGGAGGCCCACAGAGGGGACAAACTTGAAATTCCTCCCATCCTGCCCCTAGCTCGGGGTGAGTCTGGTGTCCCGCGGAACCTTGCTTCCCTCTAGTGGCCACAGCTCCCCATGTGTAGCCCCTACCTGCTGGGCTCTGCTCTGTATCCCAGCCCTATGAGAGAGGGTCCCCCCCGGTGGGGGGTGGTTCTTGGGCCCCCACGTCAAAGTCAGTCGGGGCTCCACTGGAGCTGAAGAGTGATGGTGGGTCTCCAGCCGCACACGGGGGCCCTACTTGCAGGCCAACCCAGCACTTGTGGTTCCGACTCTCCAGTTTTCCTGGAAGACTCTGTTTCCTCAGACCCTAATCTATGTGCCCTGGTTCCACGCTTTGCTCCCTGGTTCCCCATCTCGTAGGAGGGGATGCCCACGCAGTGCTGCTACAGCCCAGAACGGCCAAGACAGTGTTGGGGAGAGGCCTAGATGGGGGCTGCTCCAGTTCACAGCTTTATCCCCTCTTTGCTCAAGGCCCTACGGGAATCTGAGAACCCTTTGAAACCCCTCTTCCTAAAAATGCACACACACAAAATCTTTGACTCTTCTAGGAATTCTCAGACTCCAGGCTGAGGTCCTGGGGCCAGGCTTGCTGCTGAGAAGGCAGGGGCAACAGGGTCCCCCACCTGGCCAGGGAGGGGTAGGCAATGCCATCGTCTTAGCCATACTTGCTCAGCTTCTTCCTCTTTTTGTGTTCTCCCCAGCTCTGCTATCCAGGTTCACCAACTTCCTGGTGCTCCATCTTCTCTCCCCTCACACGGACTACAGTAAGACTCCTCAGACACAACAACGCACTGTGATTCAGACTTTAATGGTGGTGCTCATTTCCACGCCACAGAGGGGGTGGCAAGGGTGGAACCCGGCACAGGGGAGTGAGCCATTGCTCTGGTGCAGCTGGAGGAGGAACAGGGGAGCCGGGGGCTGAGGAGAGAGTTAGGGGGAAGCGTCCCCAGGGAACACAGCCCCGCCTCTGGACTGAGCGGCTTCGGTTAAGGGCTGGTAGACGCAAGGGGGCCGATGGGCAAGGCCCTTTTCTGTCACCCTTCCCGTTCCAGCAAGAGCTCCCAGCCCCAGGCCATCTCCGATCTCCGGCCACGTCACACACACACACACACACACACACACACACTCACTTCCGGTCAGGCCAGGTTTACACTCCGGAGTTATGGAGAAATGATGAATTAATTAAGAGGAATGAACAATAAATAACTGAATAAATAACCCACTAAAGGCCCGGGCCAGGCACGCGCACGCAGCCGGCACGCCCTCCACCTTGGGGCGCCGCTCGTGCGCAACACGGAAAACAGACGCACGGCCCCCCGGACACGCCTCGCCAACCAACCCTGATGCACCTGTCCCAGACCCTGACTGTTCTTCCATGGACTCCCTTGTAATCCTCAGTCCCATGGCCGGTGTTTGAGGAGACAGAATAGAAAGGACAGAGAAGTGGAGAGTGTGGAACCCAGAGAGGGGAGAGCACACAGCAGGGGCTGGACAAGCCAAGGAACAGCGCAGCAGGTCAGCCGGCGGGGCGGGGGGGGG